GTTACAGAAATCAATAAATCCCAGCACACGGCCAGATCCTATGATATTCTCAGGGATTCCTTCCTTTATGTTAAAAACTGGAGGTTGAGCAAGATTTAAGTAATGTCATGTCTTGGGGATGCAGTACCGAAGTTATATCCAGTAAAGCCAGTGTGCGCTATACGCAGTGACAAAGCTAGTCAGTATAGGAAGTGTGCGCTATATGTAGTGACCAGGCTAGGTCAGTATAGGCAGTGTACGCTATATGTAGTGACCAGGCTAGGTCAGTATAGACAGTGTGTGCTATATGTAGTGAAAAGGCTAGGTCAGTAGAGGCAGTGTACGCTATATGTAGTGACAAGGCTAGGTCAGTATAGCCAGTGTGTGCTATATGTAGTGACAAGGCTAGGTATGTATAGCCAGTGTGCGCTATACTTCCTTCATGTTACAAACTGGAGGTTGAGCAAGATTGAAGTAATGTCACGTCTTGGGGATGCAGTACCGAAGTTATATCTGGTAAAGCCAGTGTACGCTATATGTAGTGAAAGGCTAGGTCAGTATAGGCAGTGTGCGCTATATGTAGTGACAAGGCTAGGTCAGTATAGCCAGTGTGTGCTATATGTAGTGACAAGGCTAGGTCAGTATAGGCAGTGTACGCTATATGTAGTGACAAGGCTAGGTCAGTATAGGCAGTGTGCGCTATATTTAGTGACAAGGCTGGGTCAGTATAGGCTGTGTGCGCTATATGTAGTGACAAGGCTAGGTCAGTATAGGCAGTGTGCCCTATATGTAGTGACAAGGCTAGGTCAGTATAGGCAGTGTGCGCTATATGTAGTGACAAGGCTAGGTCAGTATAGGCAGTGTGTGCTATATGTAGTGACAAGGCTAGGTCAGCATAGGCAGTGTGTGCTATATGTAGTGACCAGGCTAGGTCAGTATAGGCAGTGTGCGCTATATGTAATGACCAGGCTAGGTCAGTATAGGCTGTGTGCGCTATATGTAGTGACAAGGCTAGGTCATCATAGGCAGTGTGCGCTATATGTAGTGACAAGGCTAGGTCAGTATAGCCAGTGTGTGCTATATGTAGTGACCAGGCTAGGTCAGTATAGGCTGTGTGCGCTATATGTAGTGACAAGGCTAGGTCAGTATAGGATGTGTGCGCTATATGTAGTGACAAGCATTGCAATACACTAATGAGAATAAGGTGCCAACCTTGTAAAATGCTCTTTTAAAAGAAGAATTTAAAACCTCTGCTTGCTTCAGAAAATTGTGTCTGTAAATAACACTTTCAGGGGTCACATAGCCCACACATCTTAAAGGGTTCCATATTTTAAAGCCTGGCATAACCTAGGGGCCCAACCCTGAACAGGGAACAGGGGGCAGCAGTGTGAGCGATTTAACTATGCTCAGCGAGGGGTGCCAGCCTGCGAATGGCTCGCTCAGCGAGGCGTGCCAGCCCGTGTATGGTGTGCTCAGCGAGGGGTGCCAGCCTGCCTATTGTGCGCTCAGCGAGGGGTGCCAGCCTGCCTATTGTGCGCTCAGCGAGGGGTGCCAGCCTGCATATTGCGCGCTTAGCGAGGGGTGCCAGCCTGCGTATTACGCGCTCAGCGACGGGTGCCAGCCCGTGTATGGTGTGCTCAGCAAGGGGTGCCAGCCTGCGTATTGTGCGCTCCGCGAGGGGTGCCAGCCCGTGTATGGTGTGCTCAGCGAGGGGTGCCAGCTGGCGTATGGCGCGCTCAGCGAGGGGTGCCAGCCTGTGTATGGCGCGCTCAGCCAGGGTGAAAGACTAGGAAGCTTCCTGAGTAATTCCTCACCCCCTCAGTTTTATACGCTTTATATATGAAAACTTAAAGTAAATAAATATTTGTGTGTTTCTTAGCAAGTGGCTGCCACTTCCTGAGTGAT